CGGAAGGACAGATGCAGAAACCTGCAGTGAGGGGAGACCTGCAGAACAGCTTAAAAATACACAATGTTCCCAGGATGGCGCCCTGAAGGTTGTCAAGAGCAGGTACACAAATCTGCGCACTTTATATCAATCATTAATTGATCACTTTAACCCACCTTTGTCTCCCTGCAGATGTGATGGTCAGAAGGTATGTGAAATAAATGCAGTCCTCTTCGGTACTTCTGATCCGTGCTACGGCATTTACAAATACGTGGACACCACCTACGCCTGCTTCCCAGCCAGTAAATTACATCTGTAATAAGAAACTAATATTCAGTCAAATCTGTGAATGTCCATGTTTCTAATGTTCCTTGTTGTCACTTTGTCAGTCCACAGTGTGACATGTGGGGATTCTCTGGCAAACCTTCAGTGCGGTGAGAGCACAGTTCCTCTTTCTTTGTGTGTCTCTGGATTCATCTGATAAAGATACAAATGAAGTTAAAGTTAAATACGTGTTTAAATCTTTAATGTTTGCTCTTCATCAGATGAAGGACAGGTTTTACTTATTCACAGAGCTGATTACGGACGTCATGATGCAACTACATGCTCTTTCAATCGTCCAGCCTCTCAGCTCCAAAATGTCCAATGCTCAAAGCAAATAAACAAAGTAGCCGAGAGGTACAGTTGCCAACTCTCTTTCTTCAGCCTTATATCTTCTCTTCACAACATATAGTTGGCCTCTGCCAACTCACTTTTGCCTGAATCCACAGCTGTAACGGGAAAAGCAGCTGTACTGTCAAAGTGAGCGACTCTGTGTTTGGAGACCCATGTTATGGCACCTACAAGTACCTGGAGGTGGCTTACAGCTGTCACTGTAAGTAATTCAGATTTGTTTGTTTTTTCCTGCTCTTTAATTTTAGCATTTATAACAGCAAAAAGTTAAGCACATTCAACATTGAGAGGAAAATGTGAATCTGCTCTTAGACACCGTGCTTTTAGCTGGTTCAGGAAAAAACACTGATTCTTTTCTAAAACACTGTAGTTCGGTATTGAAACTCTGAAATTAAATTTTCTTTCAGTTGCAGATGAAAGCTGAATGCTGCTGAATGGAGGAAATCACTGACATCAAATACTATCAGCGTCTATTATCTTTAAATAAATTGTGTAATGAATCAATTATTAATCAAAAAGATCAATCAATATCCAGTGCAACGTATGGTCAAAAATATAATGACAGGTACTGATTTTACATGCATATCAGATTTATTCAAGACATGTCAACTTGTGGTCTGTGGTGTCTAGATATATTTGGCCTTTATTCTAAATGTAAAACTGATTTAAAACTGATTGCCTTAAATATTTTTTTCTGATTCACTCTTAATTTTGCCTTCAATAATAAAATAATCACAAACTGATCAACTGGATGGTGTGAGCTAAATGTGACAGAGGTCTGACTAATTTCCGAAGTGAATGTTGAAACGGTCGGGTGTCAAGGTAAAGTGAGAGGAGCATATTGTCATGATATTCAGAACCACAAAAATTCAGCTCTCAAAATAAACAACATTTATCTTTTTATCATTAAGGACACCAGGGTCATTACTCCAACAGTACTCATAGTTTGATAGTACAATAACACACATTACATGAAATGTGAAGTTCTGTTAAGTTCAGTTGTATTTATAAAGCACCAAACCACAACAATCAGATGACTCCCTGTGAGCAAGCACTTGGCGACAGTGGGAAGGAAGAAGTCTCTTTTATAACAGAAAGAAACCTCCAGCACAACAAGGCCCAGGGAGGGGTGACAGTCTGCTGTGACTGGTTGGAGGTCAGGGACAAAATAAAATGTTGCAGCTGAGGTCTACTTTTGTCCAGTGTTTGTGTTCAGTATGAATTCTGAGAAAAGTTGTTCTGTTATCTAATACATACAGAAACATAAAGAAATCATTCTAAAATATTTTTATCTTCATCTAAGGTTGATGCAAAAAAAAGAACAAAGATACTTATACAGTTTGTAATTTATTTTATTATTTTAGATTTTTTTCTCATTTTAAATCTTTAACAAAATCTCCACTGTTTTGTTAAAACAGTGTTTCCCCACTGTATCCGCTCTTTTTTTAACATTAGGCTGCAAGTTTCTGGAAACAAAGCAGAACATTTACTGCAGCTCTGAAAGGCCAGAATTTCATCTCCTTTACAACTCAGGGCCTCAAACTAGAGTCAAACTAGGTATGCAATACAACTTTGTGCCACAAGATTTATAAAGTATTCCGATTCTGAGTCTTATTCTGAAGATGTTGCAACAAGTGTAATCTAAGGAGCTTGGAAATTAAAACATGAGGACTGCTTTAAGTTTCCTTGAAGAGGTTTCACCTCTCATCTGAGAAGCTTCTTCAGTTCTAAGAGCAATTGGTGGAGAGTCCCATATTTTAGGCCTTTGGGAGTGTCCCCAAGAGGGTCATGGTCATTGATCCTCTGCCTAATCACACAAACCAAGGAGGGAAAACGGCTGTGATTCACAATCAGCCAAAGTTTCGGGTGAACCCATTGTGAAACCAGTCCAATCCTATCATGTGATTTATTGAGGTCAAATGGCCCAGAATGTGAGTGGGAATTAAGGTGTCTGGGAAGGGATCTCAAAACTGGATTATAGATGGCAGACAGTTGGTGTCGTAAACCACCGCCTCTGTTCAAAGATGGTCGTTCACAGTGGACATAGATGGCTTCTTTCCCTCCTCTTTTAAACCATCTCTCTTGGGGACACATCCATAGTGCTTAAAATCTGGGACTCTCCACCAGATGTTACAACTATGGTGCCATGTAACCACTCTATCAAATTTCTTTTTTTTCTCCATCTTGTCGCTTCTGCTGTCTCCCTTTCTCTCCCTCTCTCATCCTCTCTGTCTTTGTGCTGTCATCCAAAAGGTAAATGTTACGGTGAAACAGAATTTACAACTCAATAAAAGGCACAAAAAGATCCATATCAATTATCCATCCATGTTCAATATTCAGATTTAATGTTGAACTTGTACTGCTGGCACTCGACGTGAGGTAACATGCTTTTGACTTTCAACTTTCAAACCAGCATCTGTTTTTTTTTTCCTCCTCTTTTCATGGCACGATAATCCAGCACAAGTTCTCTTAATGAGGCAACACAATCACAGCATTGTGCATCATCTGAAGAAGAGTAGCAGGTTAAGAGCTGTACAGCTCAGAGGCAGACTGCTGCTGTGTGAACATTCAAGCAACATGTTGAATGCTGCTTCTGACAAAGGTTCAGTTTCCTCTTCCGGCAAAATTACTGACACAAAGCTAGCATAGCCTACAATGCCACATGACACCATAACAGCTTCTTCTTCTTCTTCAGCTGGTGCTTTAGCTCTGTAGACGCGCTCTAGCTCCTGCATCAGATTCACAGGAAAGCTGTCACAGGTCTGTCTTCCTGTATGCTGCTGTAGCAGTGATGATGTCATAGAACAGTTTTCCTCACCAGTGAGTTCGATGAGGTTTCAACAACAGACTCAAACACATGTGTAATGGATTTTTCAGCTTCAGGTTTCCAGGATCATGATTTGGGTGTTTACAAAGGCCCTGTTCTTTATGTCCTCCAAACCTTTTGAATGATTGTGTAGCTGCTGTTTAATGGCATATCATGTTTTTTAGGACCTAGTTCAACAGTTCAGCAGTCAGAGTTGAAGGAAACTTCTTTCTAAATACTCTGAATCAGCGGTTCCCAACCCCCAGGCGACGGACTGGTACCAGTCAGTGAGTCATTTGGTACCAGGCTGCAAGAGTTGAGGCTCGGGTGTGAAATGTATGGTTTTCCGGGTTTTTATCATTAACTAGCTTTCTCTGGGTCTTTGTAGTTGTGTGTCTAATTTTGAAAGAAATATTTACGTTACCATAACAACCAGAGAGCATTAAGGGGCAGAAAGGAGGATGTTACTCCCAATGTTGTTGGCGCATTTTCAGGAGGACGCTGCTAATACAGTTACACAATTACACAGTGAATTTGCGTTTCTTATTATATTTACAAAATAACAGTTTTTGTCTTGATTGTATCATTTTATTGTGTTGTATTTATTCACGACATCTTAAAGGCCGGTCCGTGAAAATATTGTCTGACATTAAATTGGTCTGTGGCGCGAAAAAGGTTGGGGACCGCTACTTGATTGATTTTAATGCTCAGCTTTCTGTAAGGATGTTTTTTCTCATGCACTGACATAATTACACCTTGACCCATGCTCCGAAACACTCTCCTTTTGCAGTCTCTGACCAGTGAGATGTGTGTGGAGATGTTCCTGCAAATCAGAATATTTTCCAATCCATTCCAATTTGTTCTCAAACTCACTCCTGCTGCATCCTATCTGTTACTGTTCATATTCTCAGTCTTTTTTCTTATCGTTTCGTCATTCCAAACATTCACTAAATTACAAAATCATCTGCTCTGTGACTGCTTTTTAAAAAAATGCTGAAATAAATTCCCTTCCATTGTATTTACATATCACCAAATCACAACAAAACACCTATAACTTAGGGTGGCAGCGAGAGGCCAAACTGACTGCAGCTTAAGAAAACACCAGCAATAAGAAAAATGCTGCAAAAGCACACAAAGCACAACAGAAATATGAAAAACGACAACAGAAATAGGGGGGGAACAGAAATAGGGAAAAACAACAACAACAGAAATAGGAAAAAACAAAGCAGAAAAAGGAAAAAACTGATTTCCAAAAGCACAAGGGAAGTGTTTCTGGGGAGACAATAACCCGATAGACCAGTGTGTTTTGACACTTCACTTGCATACCTACAACTGAGAGAGTGGAGACTTTCAGAAAATCAATACAGCAAGACAGATCCTTAGAAAACAGAACCAGCTTCACCCCTGATCAGACCTGCACACTGTTAGGCCTCTGCCTCTTCACCACATATTCTAAATACAATGAAGGTTAATACAGATACAAACATGAATGTGCCATGGGCTCTCCATTGTCACCCACCGTAGCCAAACCTTACATAGAAGAAATGGAAAGTAAGAGCTTTTGAATCTTTCGTAGGGACAACACTTTGCCACTGGTAAAGATAAGTGGATGACACCTGGGTCAAAGAAGTAGAAACCTTTAACCTTAACTTACCTTCACATCAGCTCAGTGGATAGAAAAGTCCACCAGGGAAGACACAAAGAATAATAGTTTGTCATTTCTGGAGTGTGGTATGTGCATTGAAGAGGATGGAAATGCAATCAGGACCTGCTGTTATGTAATGCTCTCTTCTCCCCTTCTTTAACTCTACAAGCCTGACCGGAGGACAAGAGGTGGTTGCCATGGCAATGGGAGTGTTGCTAGGCAATGAGAAATACATGCCTAACTCTTTTCCTACAGAGATAATCTGACCATCCTCTTCTCTTGTAGGTGCAGGATTTTTCTTTGTTGACAAAAAGACCTGAATAGCATTGCTATGTAAAATAAATATCTACTGTGACGCATAAGCACTGCTTAATGGAATTCCTACTGGAAATCAAAGTTTTCTCTAGGCTGGATCTTCCAACCACCTGGAATCTAAGTTACTGTAAGAACAAATAAGCGGACAAGATATTCAGCATTTGACAGTGCTCAAATCTACAGTATAATACTCTGTGGGTATTATACTGTAGATTTGGGTCTTTAGGTTCTCAGTCATCAGGGTCAATGTAATCTAGGGAGACTGGAAAGAAAAGAGACTGAACTTGTTTAAGTTTCATCTTCAGTTCAAAAACATTCACAGTATTTGCAATTAAACACAAACACAATTCTATGACTTGGTGAATTTATGTCGTGTTATATGACAGAAATGCAGACCAGTGAAGAAGAGAGAAAATGAGGGAGAGGGAAACAATCTTTACTGTCATTGCACAGTCATACTTAGTACAATAGTACAACAAAATTGTCAGTACTAAGCAGAACAAAACGCAACATGGTAAACTTCAGAGTGGAAGAAAAATATATCAACAAAATATATTTTTTGACAAAAGGTATGAATAATAAATGAAAGAATGAAAGGTCATTGCAAATATATTGTATAGATTACCAAACTAACGTGAAATGTATCTATCAATGTCATTATTTCCCATCAGCAAAGAAATTACTTTGAATAAACAACTGTAAAGTCCACTCACCTGATGTTTTTCCATCTGAATTAAAGGTTTTTCATTCCTGCTCAGGTCACTGAGCCTAAATGTTCCATTTCCTGGAAAAATTAGACATCTCTGTTCTTTGATATTACATCTAGTATTTTTAATGAATTCTTTAACAATTGGTATCGATGTATTTCTGAGGTGCTGTCCATCAGCTGGATTTTCACAGTTCCTCCATAACACTGAGCTCCATCCTGTCTGCCATCACATTAAGTTCACGCAGTGCAGCCCCACGCACGGGGCGATCCACGATAACTCGCTAACAGAGATGCTGTTAAAGTCATTTTAACGAGATTAATGCTGACAGCACTCGTATTTACAGATGACTATATATGCAAATATATAATATAATTAATATTACTAAAAAAATAAGAGTTTCTTTCATGAAGCTTGGTTACACACTATTATATACAGATACATATTGTATAGCAGTGAGACCAGTTTTCCCGTGTTCCACTCGTGTACGTTAGTTTGAAGAGGAAAGAGAAAAACTTCCACAGGACTCCGATGTGAAAAGATATAACAAAAATTTATTCCACAGCTTGCAAATCTTCTTACAGGAGTAATCAGGTTTAACTTATCCTCAACAAAAAACAAATTTCTTCCAGTCAGTGAATGTTGCATATAATTGAATTTTTGCT